GTGATAATTAAAAAGTAACGTTGAAAGTTGATTGACCATTGAGTTTATTTCCAGGAATGGCAAAATGCCCCTCGTATCAGAAATTATGTTAGTAACAAAAAACATGGTCTTCTAACTCTTCTCCATGACTATAAATTTTAAATTTATATTAGTGATAATTGCAGTTGAGACCCCAAACCTTTCAAAAATGTTGCAAAATTTTCCTTAGCCTTTCATTCGTTGCAGTTGTCACCCTAAACCTTTCAAAACCTTGTGGACGAAGTCTCGATGGATGGTTTCCATCCATATTTTTGTTAGTTGACCAAAAAATTGGATTTTGACCACACATTAATCAATTATAAAAGGACAAAATGGTAACTTTATATTTTTTACAATAAAAAACTTAAATAATAAAAAACAACCAAAAAAGAAAAAGAAGAAAACAAAATCAAAAGGAAAAAAAATCTTTTTCTCCCCAACCCACGCCACCCCACCCTACTCTAACATGGATTTGTAACACACCTTTCATTGAAATCATATTGAGACACTTCTACGTCTGATCGGCTTGTTGTAAGTCTTTTTTTAAATCTAAGGGTCCGTTTAATTGTCAATATGAAATTTGGGTGGAAAGAAAACGAATTCCAAGGAATTGAATTGGCTAGAATTTATTGTTTTGAGAATTGTAAATTATTGTGTTTGATTGGTATAATTTTTTTACGTGAAATTCATTGAAATAAAAGTGTTTTTGTATGAAATTGTCGATTAAAGAGATAGATTTTACTGGTATTGAGGATGAAATTTGTTTCCATTGCAAAAAAATAAAAAAAATCAAGAAAATTATCTATCTTTTGATGTTCGTTTGCCTTTGTTTTACATGAAAATTGTCAATTAAAAGAAAATATTTTTTTACAATAATTTTTAGAATTTGTTTCCATTACAAAAAATAAAAAATAAAAATCGCTACAGTAGCCGAAAATTGGAATTAAATTCCAATTCAAGAAAAGGTGGAAATTGGTTTATGTGGCAAGAAAGGTGGAAAATGAATTCTAGGGAAAATTTTTCTAATCAAACAACAAAAAGTTGGAAAGAAGGAATTTCAATTCCATTTTCCTTGGAATTCCATGCCAATCAATCATGGCCTAATAGTCATCATACCAATCCGTCAATTAGGTTCGACTTTGTTTTTGACATTTCATGATGTTATCATCATTTGGAAAGTTGTTATTGACATTTGGTACCATGTTTATCTCGACACTTGATAGTTCATGTATCTAGAACGAGATTTCATTCTGTTTCCTAGAGTTCTATACATTTCTCTACATTTGAAGTATTGCTATTCTCGACAATTGATATTTCAACTAGTTTGTAAATGTGTACACAATATAAGCCCTAAACAACATGTACAACCGAAACAAAATGCTGTTGTCTCCATTCTAATTCTACATCGACACTAAAATCGTACCATCAACCCAAAAATCTACCTAATGATGGTACATAAACTGAGGTTATAAATGTCTTTCTAAACACACTTTGAGAATTCCATAGTCACAATTCGAAATCCTGAAACAAAAATCTAGTTAACACAACAACCAATTAAAAGTTGATATTTCCATTTCAGATATGTTTCACATACAAAAATGAATTTGAACGATGAAATTCAAATTCAATTCGATCTGCAGTTAAATTTGTTTAAAAATTAAGCAGAAGGTTTTATTAATAAACGGGAAAGTTCACAAAATCAATTCAAGTCTCAAACCAACAAGTTAATGGCTCAAATTTTCTGTTTCTTTATGTTTCTTCTACTTTTGATTTTTCAAGCAAAATATGCACACACAAATTCTCAACAAATTTTGAAAATAATAATGACTAGCGCATCCCTTGCTGATATATTTGGATCTGGTGCTCCATAGTTGCTCTTTAGACACCTCTCAAGTGTTTTCATCATGCTGCACAAAACCATGAATGAGTATCTAAAATATAAAGAAAATATCTTAACAAATATAATTAGGTACTAGAGAATGATTCTGGTATAACGAAGTTTACATGATTCTTGACTTCTTGTGGCAAAAGAACCCTAAAAATTCATTTGATTTCTCAGGAAAATAATATCTTTTCAAAAAATAATAAACTGTTATCAGTTAAAATCAAAGAATTTTTCATGATAAAATCACATCACGCACACAAGATGCAAAACTCAAATATTAAGGGTCAGTTTGATAGGCTGGTTTTCCATGAAAAATGGAAAATAATTTTCAATTCCACCCAAAAATGCATGTTTGATAGCAAATAATTTCCATGGAATTCGCTTTCTTGGTACAACACTTTTATGCACCATTTTCCACACTTTTAAGGAAAATGTTTTTCCATGGGTTAGGTGGTTTTTCGTCTTCCAACTTTTTTTTGGCAATTGATACAAATTTTATTTTCAAATTGTAACAAATTTTGTCCTTTTAATTAACAATTTTCATGAAAAATAAAGTCAAATGAATATCAAAAGATCCAAAATTTCAATATTTTCTAGGCCGAAAATTATACCAATCAAACACATTTTATTGACAATTCTCAATAAAATAAGTTATAGGCAATTCAATTCCCTAAAATTCATTTTCTTTCCACTCAAATTCCATTTTTGCAATCAAACGGATCCTAATATTGAAAAAAAAAAAAAAAAAATCTTCTTCCATGGTTTCCTCTTATAGATTTGACAAAACCCACAAGCATAGCGTACTACACACCACCAAAACTTTCATTATAATGGCAAAATCCTCCCCAACACGAAAAAGTATTAATTGGTTTCTATCTTAAACATCAAAAGTTCGAGGTTTTTGTTTTTAAAATCCAAATCTCATAAAATCCAAAAAAGCAGAAACATTAAGAAAAATAATAAAAAATGAAAATCTTTAAAACACACACACACGAAGAAGTGGTGTGTGTTTGTATATATACACTTACAGCTATTGTAAATGGCGAACTTAAGGAAGGTCTCGCCTTTTTTATTATTTTTTTTAATTTAAAAAAATTAGAAAATTTTGCGTGGGCCATTGACCCCCTTGCCCTTGTGTGCCTCCGCCCTTGGCTGTGGGAGACCGACGACTATTTTAGGTGATTGAAGATGGCGATCGTCGTGGGCAATTCAGGTGAAAAAAATTGAGAGTTGAGAGAGAGATTCAGTTCTGCATTTTGCTTTCAAGTGAGTTCACCCAAAAAAATCAATTTTTTGATTGTTATTTCATTATCCAGACCGTCATTTTTTATTATTTATTTCACAAGTAGAATCCACTTTCTCTCCAACGGTCAAAAAATCAATTTTCAAAATTCCTACCAATCAAACCCTATGTTTGTGTTATAAATTTTTTTTATTTTATTATTATTTTTTAATGGATTGGGTCAAGTGGTTTGTACAAATTTTGACGGGCAAACCACAAAAATCTATAGTTTGGATTTGTTTTGTTGACCCACTTTTGGAAGAAGTAAATATTCAATGTATGAATTCATATTTATACTTTTCAAATAGATAGTATAGATAATGTGTCAATTTCCATTTGCTAACATAATTTAAAATTATTATATGAACAATTTTGTTTCTGATGGAATTTGAAATTGTCATTGAGGGTATTTTGGTCTAAATTTTAGCAAAATAGATATGGAACAAATTTTAGATATTTTTGCAAATGATCATGTAAAATGGACATTTAGGACCCGTTTGGTACACATTAATATAAAAATGAGAATGAAAAATATAGTCGTTACGGACTCCACACAAGAGATAGAAAGTCAAATATAGTGGTTTAATGTGATAAATAAATGTCATATTTTTTATTTTAATGGACAAATAATGAGACCAAACGGGGACTTATTGTAATTTTTTCGTATTGGTAGATGGGCAGACAATTCAAACCAATTTCTAGAATGGTTACATTTCTAATTTGACTTTTCCTCCTTTTCTTCAAGGATAAGATAAGACCCCTTCACCCCCTGTGATAGGTGTTGGGAGACAAAAGTTCTTCCTTCAATATTTGCATAACTTTAATATTTTATATTTCACTCGTCACTTTATCTCACTCCTCTTAAAAATAGACGATTAAAATAGCATGAAAAATAAAATTTTTAAATTTTCAAACTATCTATTCTAAAGTGACATCAAATGCAAAATAAAGTTACGATTGCTAGACAACAATCATGAATCTAGATTTAGGGCCTGTTTGTTTTTGCTTCTTCTGTGGATTTTGTGCAAAAAAAAAAAAAAAAAAAAAAAAAAAAGAGCCGTTGAAGTGAGAGGATCAATAAAAGATGATGGCTGCATTTGATTTTCAACAAGCAAAAAATCAATTTTTGGGTTTCAAAAATCCATCCGAAATAGAGGCTTATAGTTTAGGAAAATAATTAAAGTTCAATGACTCTTTGTAAATAACATTGAAAGTTTAGTGAGTATTTATGGAAATTTTAAAGCTTAGTAATAAGGATCGTGCTACATATACCGAATTTTTTTACCTAATTCTATACCTACTATTCACAATAAGAAGTGGAGGCAACAACTCGGCATTATTTAATACACGCGAGGCCTGCGTGTTATGTGAGGGGGGAGACATGGTTCAGTAGTCCCCCTTCTGTACATACATTTTAATCCTAGTGATAATTAGAAAATAACGTTGAAAGTTGACTAACCATTGAGTTTATTTGTAGGAATGGCAAAATGCCCCTCGCATCAAAAATTAGGGCCCCGTTTGGTAGTGCTTTTTTACCCTAAAAAATTAATTATTTTTATCATTATTTCATTTTAATCGTCATTTTTTACTTCTTCATTCACACGTGATTCCCACTTTTCCTCCTAATAATCAAAAAATTAATTTTCAAAATCACTATCCAATGGCTATGGGTTAGTAATGAAAAACATGGTCTTCTGACTCTTCTCCATGACTATAAATTTTAAATTTATATTATGTTTTTAAATTGAATCATATTTGAAAAAAAATAAAAAATAAAAAATGTTAATAGAGTGAAAACGAGATTTTCATCCGGTCTTCAAAATAACATTTCTTTGGTCTCCAGATCCACACCATACATATGCATCATACATACATGCGTCGGAATATACAGACAGCGTCTTCTGCAAATTACGTATTGGCGGATTTGCAATATATGAAATTGACTACAATCACCATAAAGTTCACTTACAATTTACCCAAAAGAATTACCTTTAATCCATGGAAGTGCAGTGGCTTCTGGTGTGCCACGGCCTGGTGACGCTTTTGGTGCTGGTATCGTTCCTCTGCGGTAATTGGCCCATTTTCCAGGGCACATTCATTCAGCGTATCCACTTTTTTCTCACATTCGGGGCCTATGATTATTTCCGGTAAAAACCCTTTTCCCCCCCATTTCTGGGGGGTTATTTGATGTTTCTGCCAATTAGTTAGTATTTTCGAATTTAATGTGGTAATTAATCTGTATTAATTGATGTATTATAGGCGATTTATTCATTTTGTGTGTGGGTCTAGAGGCAGTAATGCCGTAAACTCAGTTGAATACTATTTTTGCGACCGGCCTAATCCCATTTTACAGGTACACCCTTTTGTTTACCAACCCTCTTTAGTGTAATAGTATTACATTGCCATTTCTTTCTTCCTTTTTTTAATCAATAATTGTCTTATGGTTATTCTCTGTGTGTTTTAGTATGGAAAGGTAGTACATGAGATTCCGTGAGTGTAATTCTTGATTCTTCTAATCACTCCTTATTTATATGGGTAATGTTCATGTGTTCTAGTTCAGGCTCTTTTGTTTGTGAATAGTTGGAAATTGGTGTTGAATCCAGATGTCTTTGCTATCAAAATCTGTTCATCAACATATAAAGAATCAAGTCATTAAATTGATCCCTATATTACTACATTACTGATTTAACAATTAATGTCGTCGAAGTGCCATGTCTGAATTCCATCCGACACCTAGCAAATTCCGTCAGGTGGGAATAACGATGAGTAACCATTTGAATACTTGTTTAACTTATCTTTAGGTTACTACTTAATCAATTAACAAATAAGGTTACCAATTGCTCACTCATCTATTCAAACTATTACCCATCCATATCCGGAGTTAAAATTATGTGGTGCACCCCATGAATAGCTAATTTTTTTTATTTTTTTTAAACATGGAATATATACCTTAGATCATGGATACAAATGTTCTTAAGGTGGTCATATATTGGTATGCATATCCTTAGTTATAGGCATTCGTATTAATATTATGGGTATAGGTACCATACCATGACTGCTTAGGGTCACATCACACTATTTCTATTGTAATGACTTTCTTGACGTTACTTTGAAAAAAAAAAAAAAAAAAAAGATTTTTTTATCTATGTTATTATCTTTCCATCTTACAATAATTTATATTTAAATAATTTTTGTCGTGAAAATATAATGAAACAACGGAGATAAATGTTTTGCGCCATTGGGACAGATACCTTAAGATGTGTGTAAAGGTGAAAATAAAGTTTACGTGGGTATTAATACTTTTGGTAGAAAAGCACGAATTGTTTTGAGTAGCTTGAGTTCGTGTCTTGGAATCTTTGAGAATTTGTGTTTTTGTAACTTATGAGTGAGCAATGAGTAAACTTCCATTTTTTTTTTTTTTTTCATTTAGTGGTTAAGGAGCAACCTATGGATAAGATTAATGAGCATTCATTTAATTAACTTAACAATTTAATGTCGTAAACGTGCCAGATCTAATTTCCGTCAGACAAATGGCGATTTCCGTCAAGTGGGAATAACGGATTTCACTTGAGTGATGGATGGATATCCGTCTAAATAAGATAAGTGAGAAATGGGTAATATTTTTTTATTCAGTGAATAAGTAGTAACCAATGAATAAATTTAATGACCATTCGTTTAATTAACCCATATAGAATCACAACTCGTACCTTTCGATACCAAGTGCGAAGGGAGAGCAAGAGTTGAGGATGAAGATTCTAAAATGTCAACTAACTGAGAGCATAAGTTAAGATTTTTAAGAAATATTAATGATAACAATGTATCATTAGTAGATGTACAGAACATTAGCTCTTGAACAAATTGAAATATTAGGAGTTTTCAAAAATATAGTTGGTGAAACCCCGGTATTGTACTGCTTTTTGTAGACTCGCAAGGAACAATGTAGACATTTGGACGAGTGCCTATATTTGATTTGTAAATCCAAAATATTAGTTGTTTGACAAACACAATGTAAGCAAACTTATCCATACTAATTTTGAAGTAGCTACATAAATCCCCTTCTTCCATTTTGCTCTAAAGAGTTGTATCCATAGTTCAGATGACTTTAGTACTTGGAATGCTGAATAGTTAATCATCTTCCTCACCTCAAATGCTCTCTGTACCTCAAGAGGTAAAGAATTGTAGGGATTTATTTCAATTCCTTGTCATGTTGTTAGGTTTGGTCTGGACGGGATCCCCTGATCACTCGTGTGATAAAAGAGGAGAAAGTGTTTATTAAACCAAGTGATTTTTGTCTATAAAAATATTTCAGTATCATAAATAGATTGTGTGTGGTTACTAGAATGCAGTGCCATATCCTACTTAACCATTGCTTTTCGACTACTGTGACAACTCTCAAAACTTTAAGCTGAAAAGCATGTTAGAAAATGTAGCTAAACAAGAAAGGACAAGTATAATCACATTATTCAAAAATCAATTTGCCAAAGATTCCCAGATAGGATTAGGTTTTTTGGCATTAATCTGGATTCCAAGTAGGAAGATGATGCTGGGGAAAAAATGAACATTCTTATTCTTTTCTTGTTTCTTCATTTTTTAAACTTTTCTATAGAATAATATTTCGTTATCCTCTTTTCCTCCTGAATGCAGATAATGTATTTGGGTATAATTGGAGCTACCTATTACTTAATTGCAACATCATCCTTCAGCTACATTCCTGGATACTACTTAAGTGGACAGCACAGGTGTTAATAGTATTCTTAAGGCTGATGTTTGTGTACTGATATATTGTATGTGTACAAATTTTCTTGATCTTCACATAATTGCAGGTTCATGAGCTTCTTGGCAGTTGGCGTCGGTATTCTACTCTTCCTATTGACTAGCTTTTCGGACCCAGGAACGGTGACTTCTGCAAATGTCCCTCAATATCTTTCTGCTTATCCTTATGACAACATTATCTTCTCAGAGAAAGAATGTTCTACTTGCAGGATCTCAAAGTAAGTTCATTGTTCTTGTTCGGACTTTTGAAACTTGTCCGAGAAAATGCTGATTAGATCTAATATTTCCTCCTTCCCTCATTCAGGCCCGCTAGGTCAAAGCACTGCAGCATATGTAATCGCTGTGTTGCTCGGTTTGACCATCATTGTGGATGGATGGTTTGTTTAATAATCTTTTTACTTACCCTCCTTGATGAAAGTTCGGATACCTTTGGGCTCTGTTATCAGAGATTGTCAGTTGTTTAAAGATTTTTTTCTCTTGATCTCCGTTGCAGAACAATTGCATTGGGGAGAGAAACACCAGATACTTCATGGCTTTTATTCTTTGGTGAGTGATGAACTGAATAACATTTTGGTTAGAACCAGGAAAAGTGTAGTTTTAGATCTTGCTAGTCTTTTAGAATTTTCTTTGTCATGTTTAATAATTTTTATGAATATTTTTTTGTCAATGAATGAAGGTATATGAATGTTTCATCAGTGTGCACTACACAATTCTGTAGTGTAATTTGTCTACTTAGATTTTCAGTTGCAGTGATAACTATCAATGCTTCTTTCGCATCTGCTATTTTGTCAAAAGTGATTCTCTATAGATGAAAATGTAGGGAAATGCAAGTTTGATGTTCTGTGCTTATAAGACTTCTCTTTCCAGATCTGGATTCTTCTTCAAATGTTTCTTAAAACTCATGCAGGCATTTCCTTATCTGCATTTATGGAGTAGTAGCCCTTGCATTGATTCTTGCTGGTAGGCTGAAAGAATTAAAAGTAATCTACATTCTAACAGGTGCAATACGTGTATCCTGACATTTTGTTGTTGGTTCTTGAGTTTTTTTCTAAAAATTGGAGGAAACTTCTCTAATTCTATTTTGTTGCAGAGTATTATGGCATCGAAAATTCTTTTAGGGCTTTGGCTCCGCAAGTTGTACAGGTAAGTGAATGTTATTTTACATCTTGCCACAACTATGGTACATAAACAATCCAATATGCATGCCAAACTTGAATGATCCACCAATGAGCTTTTCCAGGCTGGGGCTTAAGTGGCTCTTTGCTTTTTGCATCCCTATAGATGGTTCTTTTAGAAGAAAATGCCAGCAATCCATTTGCATATCTTGATAATGGGATCCGTTTTCCCATTGTTGCCAACTTGTTCTAACCTAATTCGAGTAAAATCATAGGAAGGCCCAAAGATCTTCCGATGTCTGTTCTCAAATTGTAAAGTTAATGAGATAAATTTCAATGTGCTATGTAGTTTGGTAAAACGAGTCAGTAATGGACATTTAGTGGTGAAAAATTATCTTCTTTAACATTATGGTTGAATGTGGAGAACCTATAGAACCGATAGCCTTTGTTATAGGTAGTGGGAATCAACTTCATCCTTTTTCTCTATTTTTACTTGAGTGATCCGCAAATTTTTCTTAATTGAGATTATTTCGTTCCTTTTAATAACAAGTGGAAATTTTGTTATGTTCTCACCCTTTATATCACTCTATTGATAGTTCTTTGTTTTATGACAGTGGTTGTTGGGCGCGTACAACACACAAATACTTATTATGATGTTTTTAGCCTTAGTTTCTCTGCTGTTAGCTGGATTCTTCACATACCATGCCAAACTCTGTCTTACAAACACTACCACAAATGAGGTATATTTCTTTCGGGTTTCCATTGTATGCAGTTTAGCCTGTGTTTGACTCTCTTTAAATTAAAACTCTTTATCTCTACTTATTTTCAGCCACACCTTCACTAAATAAAATATTTTACACATAAACCAAAATTTTTTCCCTACTCTTTAGTCACACATTCTTCAAAAAATTACTATTCAATACATCATTTTCTCCCAATTTCTCTTTATAACGGCCATCAAACAGGGGCTTAGTTTATCCATTGCCCTGTGATGAGAACTATGCACTTGCACAGCACCTGCACTGTGTGTTCCTGATTGTTGTGCCCCACTGGCGCAACAAGAATAAATATATTTGAATAGGAAAACTAAAATGATCTTGGTGGTGTATCATCAACAATAAATATAAGGTAATGCTTGGCCTTTCAAATTTATTACATTCCTATCAATTGATTATGAACTAACCCGATTAAAGTACAATTCATGTTCTGAAGTTTAATGTTAAATGACTAAATTCCATAATAATCAATAAAATTCCCTTGAATTTATCATAAATAAAATTTTCTAAAGTTTGTTTCCAATTGGAGAATTAATAATTCTACTGAGTATCATTAACTTTGAGAAAAATCCTTTAAAAATTTTTGTTATAAGAGTTGATAACATCATTTGAAGTGACATATAGTTACAGTATGCAAAAAGTAAAGTTCTTTGTACATTAAAGATTATTATTATTATTTTTTTCCAAAAATGTGGATAATGTAAATATATGCAAACATTGCTTGTATATTTCTTTAGTATTGTAGATTCCCATCATTATTAATTTATCACGAGTTTTATTGGAAAATATTAGTTAAATGCTGCGAAAAGGGATAACGGGGGAAACTGTATATTACAAATATACTTTTTTCTTATCGCTAACTTAGCCTCCATATGGCAAATTTATAAATGTTAAATAAAGAGAATTAGAGGAAAAGTATTGGGTTCCACATATTGTGTGGATAATAATGATTAGTGGTTATAAATCTGTTATTTAAATTAATGTTTGATTTTAATTGAATTTTTAAACCGTTTATAAATTTTTATTGATGCTTTCTTAGATAAAAGTCGTGATAAACTGGTAACGATAGAAATCCACCAAATTAAAGAAAAATAGTGTTTCATGACATTTTGATTATAATTAAAAATCATGCATGGACCAACATTCAAGGGATATTGGACAAATAATCAAATGAAATCTTGTATATAAACCAGTGAGTACTGGAGCTCACGTCACTTATTGTGTAAAGTAACCAGTTGCTATCACCTATCAGTCTTTTTTTTTTTTTAAGAGATTTGACTCAAAAAGTTCTGATGTTTTTTCCAAATAGTTGGAGGTTAACACATGGTCCATACTGTAAACAACTGTAAGATTCGGAAACAATAATTAAAGGGAAACTGCATAATGTAAGTAACACATGCTTTATTGCTAATTACGTATTTGGTAACTTAAAGAAGTTGGAAAGATTCATTATCAGACTGGTAGTAGGACTAAAGAACTCTGCTATGAGCTTCATTTTAGTCCAATTAATTGGCTCCTTCGTTCTAAAATTCTAATCTCTCTATTTGACTAAAATTCATTGAGAAAATATAAGTCGTCATCACTCTTATTTTTCACTTTTGCAGTGTTGGTTGGCTTCATTTGATTAGTAAATAACCTATTTTTAGGTTGATGACTAACACTTTCTCTTCAGTAATGGCTACCGTGGTTTATTTTCTTTTGCAAAAATGGAAAACTGGAACAATAACGAAAAATTGGATGGCGTATGAGGTAGTTAAGATGATATTACTGTGAAGAATTTCTTTTGTTCGTCAAACTGTACAGATGCTTATTAAAGTATAGGACTAACACAACACTACTAACACGATAAGCCATATCCTCGATAATCTTATGGTGTACATAAATTCTTTTTCCCCATTCTACTCTATCTAAGCTACCTATACTAAAGATCAAATGAAATCAAATATTTTGCTATCACCTGACACCATTGTAATGTTAGTCTACCTCTCCTTCCTTTAGCCCATTCTACTTGGATTATTTTACTGTTGTAAATGGGAGTTTTGTTTAGTTCTAACGTGTTTCAAATATGTTAAGCCCATAATTTGCCCTTGATTGGTTCCACCTTCATTGTTGGTATAAATCATCATTTTTTATTTTTTCCTTTCTAATATGTTAGAATCCATCTTAACATGTTCACTTTTACTGTAACAAACAATTTTGTACTATTATTATCCAATACTCATTACCAAAGCATAGTTTTTCCATTGGTAATTCCTTGGAATTTCATTTTAACTTGGAAGATATCTTGTGGTCACATAGAACTCCTGTAACCTTCTCTATTTCGTCTAATCAACGCTAAATTTATGCATTATATTATCTCAAGTCTATGTTCCTCAATTAATCATAAATACCTAAAAGAAACACTATTTGTGAAATAAGAGGCTCTATTTTAACTCATCATTATTATTCCTCCAATACTCCCAAAAAGACATTACTCGTCTTACATCTTAGTTCTACTTGAATTGAAGACCGTTAATTCCATAGATTATTTCCCATATTAACATGCAAACTTCCGGGAAAGTAGAATGATGTTTTTAAAATGCCATTTTATAACCAAGGAAAAGGATGTTTCAACATATAACTTCTGTAAAGTGTAGGAAAATTTGAGGTGTATGTTACTTGGATACCTGAAGGGTTTACTGTATTCAATTCCTTGAGGCTTTACTACGCAAATTGGAAATTCTAGCTACCTACTGCACAAATTTTTTATTTAATCAATTTCAAGAATATGTGCAGTACTTTTCCTGGTTTATATTCCATCTAGATACCAGGGAGAAAGAAAGAACTTTTGTATCAGAATTCCCCATGCAAAACAAAAATGAGAACTGTGAAAATTGAAATCAATTTATATAGAACAATCAGTAGAAATAATTATATTTCTGGCTCTTTCTCGTACTGTTACCGGTTTGATGATGCATATAGCAGTTATCTGTATCCGTCTGTTATGTGTGCTATATCATAGACACTTCTTAGCATCTATAATAGAGTACTTGAGCCAGCAGTGTTTTAACTTAATTTTTTCTATATCAAAATGCAGTCTTTTAAGTGGCAAGAACACTTGAGCTGGCAGAGGAAGGTGAGCGAGGCAAAGGCAAGTGCAGAAGCTCTAAAAGCAAGTTTAGATGAACTAGGTCAAGAAAGGAAGCCTCAAGAAAGCAAATGGAAGTCCTTCTTCAGAAGATCTCGTCTGGAAGAATTGGAAGTTGTTAAGAATAATGTGTATGATCGAGGATTTCTAAACAATATCCACGAGGTTATCTTTCCTCTCTCTACAAGGAGATCGTTTTGGGCAAATAAATCAAAGTCGGGTTAAGTTTTTCCTCATGATCCTTGACTCAATTTATGCCCAGCGATCATGGCTTCAAGGAGGAAAATCAAATAGAAAGCTGAGTAATTATCTTGAACATTATCCAGTTCATAGCAAGAGCATTCCAATACAAATGGTCCCTCCTATTGCTCGGATGGAGCAGATAGTTGGTATACTTTCAGTTGAAGGAACTTTGATCTCATCTGCACCTTTCTCCTTGGGGCAATGTGGGACTCTGGTTTTCCGAGGATGTAAATTCATAGTTGTGTAAACTTGTAACTGGACGGTGGTATACTCATCCATACATTTGCAATTCTTGATTCTGCTACTGCTGAAGGCTTGCCTGAATTTTTGTTGTGGATGTGCTGGGAGTGTAATTTTACATGGTTTTTTGTCTTATTAAAAACTTGCTTCTTATTCCTGATTGGGACTGTAATGAGTATTTTCTATTCCAGTGCAACAAAAACACCTTCGAGGAAAATTATGATGAAGGTGTATAGGTGCACTATTTCACGGTGGGGATTGCAAATTTCCTTATATTTCCCTCGTTTCTTTTGTTGAAGACTAGCAAGACGAACAATCCTTCCAAGAATTATTTGATCTCTGGTTACTCATGATTATATCTTGGTTCAATTTTAGCCAAGGGAGCGAATGAGATTGGATACTCAACTAGTCCTAATGGTGAACAATGATGCTAGGTGGCTGTACAGATGGACCTATACATTGTTGTACTTACCTTCTAGAGATGTTTGTTTTATATCCAAAAACTGCTCAACAATAGTTGAACAAGTGGAGAATGTAGGGATAAACCAGAAAAGTTTGGATAGTCAAATATAAGCGTTGAGACTTTTGTTTGTGTGACTAAATGTATATGCTTGATGCAAAAACAATAATGTTAAGTATGCATTCGGCCAAGCTCAATGACAAAAAACCGTTTAATGTGAAATCATAAATAACTTGGTAATGCACAAATTTTGTCAAGGACATGGTTTATTTTCTTTGTTTGCTTCTTCTTCATCACTTGTTACCTTGTATTTCCTTTCTCCAGCTTGGCCACCTCCTTAATTTGTGTATATATATGACAAATCTGTAATGAATTTTTATGTCTAGGAAATTGAATGGGAAAAAACTAAGAACTAATGAGAAAGATGAATTTTGGGGGTTTTTTCAGTTTATTGAATATGGCATAGCTTTGTGGATGCCAAATTTTCACTTCTGAGACATAAGCCCTAAACAAAAATTTTCTATAAGGAGAGGATTAAAAAAAAAAAAAAAACATCAATTTTCACTTATGAGAATTCATCATTAACCAAAAATCCAAGTATCTCGTTAAAAACTATTTAGTTATAGGTCACAAGACATATATGTCACAGTAATGTTTCACCATAAGTCACTTTAAGGGAAATGAATATCACATTCTTGATCATCAAAAATTTATTTTCAAATTTCGTTTACCAAAATGCAAATGTGACATTAAGGGCCTGCTTTTGAGTTTTATTTTCTACTGATTTTAATCGATGTTTGGTGGTATCATTTTTGAGGAGTTGGAAAATTGGTGCTTTCTAGTTTTTTTTGGACATTGATTTCAGGTGGTTATTATTTCCCTCAATCCACCAAATCGGTGAGTTTTGATCCTTTTTCATATTCTTTTCTATTTTTACCATTTATAAGATAAATATTTATAACCAACATATTTTATTCAAAATTGATTTGTAAATAAAAATAAATTAACAAAAAAAATTATTTATAAGGAAAAAGTTTCATTATAATTATAAAAAATATTTGTAGTAAAAAAAAATTACTTATAAGATAAAATATCAATTTTTTGTAAAAATTTGTTTATTAACGTAAAATACTACTAATAAGTAATAAGACAAAAAATCACTTATAAAATATAAAAAGTTTCTTAAGCAAAAATTTACTTGTGTAAAATAATTTAAAGGTAGAAAAATAACTTATACTTGTAAAATTTACTTATAAGTTAAAAAAAAAAAAAAAAAACATACTAGCTTCAAATTTTAAGTAAATATTTAACTCTTCCATTAAATATCAGCATATATTTAAAAAAATTACTTATAAGTGAAAGATTACTCATGAGTAAAAGATTCATACAAGAAATTATAAATTGATGATTTCAGTAAGGGACGTGTATGAAATTTTATTCTTTTAAATTCGATGAATAATAAATTTTCAGACATGAGTTGTACTATTTTAAAAATCACTATTAAAACCATTCAAAATCAATTTACTCATAAACGTTTAAAATCGATACTTTAAAAAAGCCTATAATTAGTGCCAAAACTTCCAAGCATGCCTAGGAATGTCAATGAGACGAGTTGAGTCGGCTTACGAGTCAGAACTCGAAGCTTGGGCTCGGTCGAATAAAAATGGTTCCGACTTTTTTTGGCTTGAGCAAAAAAATCTAGACTTGTTTGGAGCTTTCGATTTGAGCCTTATTTAGTTAGGCCAGGCCAAGCCAAGTCGAGTCGGCTCGTGATTTTTTTAACAAGGCAGCCATGCAACTGCCTGGTATTGAAGGCAACTGTTGCTGTTGCAGGTTGCAACGACAGCATCAATACAAGCAGCCAAAGCTTTATTATTTTATGATTTTTCAGAAATTTGCTCATGAACTGGCTCGGCCCAATCTTCAGCTCGATTTTATTTAATATTGAGCTTTTTTGAAGTTGAGCTACGGACACCTGAGCTAGCGAGCCAAATTAACACAGCTAAGCATGCCCTAAAGGTTGCAGAATAGGGGTTGCAAGTTAAAGGTGGTGGTCTTCATCTACAAAATGCAAGCAATTAAGCCCATGTGCTGATAATTATTATTTGGGAAAAATAATGTTTTAAAATAGTGATTTTTAGAAAAGTAGGAAAAAAGGTTTAAGTTTATGTACAAAATATTTTAATATGTGATTGAAAATGAGTATAAAAAAAAGTATTTCAATAATGGTTGTCAAATAAAAGCTAAATTACGTAGTATAGGTCACATTCAAGTTGAAAAGGAATAAGATTTTTAAAATCCAGTCATATGATGAAAATCAATTTGGTGCGAAAATGTAAGATTTATTTATATTTGGTTTATGCTTATATACTATTTATAAACGGTCAAATTATTTTTATTCATATCTATCTAACCGCCTATCTATGAGTCAATTCATCTATGTATAAGTTAAACATTTAAAAACACTTCTTATGTGTTGCACATTTAAATACACGTTTGTTCATTACCTATCTAATTTAGTTGCACAAAAATAATTAATAAAAACAATAGGTTTTATACAAAATACCCAAAATTTTCAAAATTTAATTACATGCTTAAATTATCGTCATGTCACATTCTAGCTACATATACTTTTCCTTCACCAACAATAAAGGATGATTCACTGGAAACCAGCTCTGTCAAGACAACAGAAGTAAGATACGTGCTTTGAACAAAAAACAGAACATGTGGATATCAGAATTCCTACTAATGTCCTCCAACCTGTCTAAAATCTAAAAAACCAGTACAACTAAGTGTAGTGAGAGGACGAGAGAAACGGGGCAGTGAAAATCATACCTTCTGAGGCAGATTTGTACAGTGGATTTTTTCGAAGAGAAGATGCCTCAATTACTACACGTAATACTTCGTTATTAAATGTACGCAATCAAGGAAGCGATTTAAGAATTATATCTCAGTTATCAACTAGATGTGATGTTTCAACACGCAACAAGAACAAGTAAGTTTAGAAAGGGAAATAAATGACTGAGTAAAGAAGCAAATGCAACCACATTCATCCCTTCAACTACTGTAGGTAGATATCAAGTTCACTACATCTTTTACCACAGTACTTTCGGAAGAAAAATGTTGCTCTTCACCTGGTCCATCCCCAAACATGGGTTGCTGTAATCACACAACAAAAAGGCGCATATTACTTCAACCAGCATACACATAGCTAAGCAATACACACTGCTCTCTCACACACAGAAATTTTCAGGTACAGGGTCCGGAATAAGTCCACAAAGGAAGATGGCTGTGCAATAATGTACCATGATGACTAGAATGGACATGAAGCACTGCCCAACGTAATAGATTTAGAAGTCATCTAATACGATAGCCAGAGTGGCAGAGCTCACTAGCACAAATTCATTTAATTGGCTACAGATGAAACTCAGATTGTGAAGAAACATTTATCTTGCAATCACAGCTACCATAGCAGAAAATATGAGATTTGATATACTTTAACTGCCGTCAAATCAGGGATAATCATCTCATATAAACAAGTAAGAATTCCATTCCCACTCATTGCGCAATAACATAATGGAAAAGAAGCTGAAGATAGTTCTTAATTTTACCCAAACAAAAAGCACAAATAGAACAATTCTGTAACGCTAACAGCTTTATCTGAAAATCACCATCAGAATGCTACGAAAAATGTCACTATCACATACCAGCAGGAATTTTTATGTTGTTTGCGTTGCGGAAGGATGCCAAGAGCATCTAACATTGATTCATCCAGTTCTGCAGGTACACACATTGAAAAGTGCATTGTATGTAAGCATCAGATAAGCAGATAAAATAAGGTCAATGTTCAACCTTTAGTCTGCAACAATATAGCCATTAGACTTAAAAGAACCTGATACTTGAACAGTTAAACATCATCCCGCAGGTAACAAAAGAAAGCAAGGCCTCCCTACATAATTCAGCATCAAAGAATATAATTGATTCAAAACAGCTATTAATCTTCTCCATGGTTAGTACAAAGAAATTCATTGCGTCCTTTAGCTGCAGTGGCGGATCCAGGATTTTGATTCAGCACGGGCGCCCGTTGACCTCCGATCGTCGGCTCAATAAAATATTACGAGTTCGTTTGATGTAATTTTTTTTGGGTGAAAAAATGCATTTTGGAAAATAGTGATTTGATAGAAAATATGTGGTTAAAAATAAGGAAAAGTTTTGAATTGTAATATTATTTTATTGAAGAATATATAGTTGAAAATAAAAGAGAGAAAAATATATTTTGAAATAAATGAAAATCAAACAGGACCTAAAATTTAAACATAACAATTATTTTGTTGAAATTGAACATATATAATTTTGTTAAAAGAATAAACTATACTCATCAAATGATATCATTAGGTTTTATATAATTCAAGAGAAGATGACGGGTTCACGTATTTATTGTTGCATTAAAACAAGCTAAAATCTAATACATTTTTGCCAAATCTAAACAATTCAACCATTGGCATAATGGTCAAACCATTAATAATTTTAACAATAGCTCCATGTTCGAATCCCCGCCTTCTCATTCCATTAATTTTTGGTAAAAATTGTAAAGATAAAAAAATTGAACAATAAAAGTCGATTGTTAAAGGACCGAACTTGGGACCTACAAGATGTAAAAATCAACACTAACCAGCTTGGCCAGAAGCAATGTTTTAATGGAAAATGATTATCAGAAATATAACCTACAAAATTCATCTATTGTCAACCAAAAAAATGGCTGCCGGCGGATCCAGCACTCACGGCCGCAGGTGCTTGCCACGTGTTGGATCCG